AGAGGCTGAAGCTCGTCAAAGAGAGATTGAAGCTCAACAGCAACAGCAAATATTAGAGGCTGAAGCTCAGCAGAGGGAGCTCGAGACTAGGCGGTTAGAGGTTATGGCACAGTTGCAACTAGAAGCCACAAAGAAGCAACAATTAGAGATTCAACAACAAATGGCTGACACTAACTTCAGGCTTGAATCACAGCGTATGGCAGCTGGGCATGGAAATTCTAGTAATGTTTCAACAAATAGTGATAATAATCCCATAAGGATGAATAAGTATATAGAGTTACCCAAGTTCAATGAGGAGGATCCTGAGGTTTTCTTTGCCCATTTTTATAAAATTGCCATCAGTATGAACTGGCCAAGGGATCAGTGGGTAGCCATTATGCAGTCTCAATTTAAGGGGCGTAGTCAGGAGGTTTTTACATCCCTACCTGACGCTCATAGCTTTGATTACGAATTTGTAAAAAAAAGCATCTTAAATGCATATCAAATAAATCCAGAGGCACACAAGCAAAAGTTTAGGAACCTAAGGAGGGTAAGTGATCAGACAATAGCAGATTTTACTCGTCAGCAGACGAATTTTTGCAACAGATGGTTAAAGTCACTTTCAGTCACTGACTTTGATGCTCGAAAGAATCTTCTTATAATGGAAGAAGTATTGTCATGTCTCCCAGACCAGTTGTCTACTTTTATGGCAGAACAAAAGAATGTAACAGACATTTATGAACTGTCAAAGCTCGCGGATGAGCATGAGTTGTTGACTAAGGCCCAGTTTACGGCCACTTCACCTAAGTCTAGTCGTAGAGTAAATTATAATGCTCACCGAACTCCTTATCAGAATCCATCCCGTCCTAGTGTTCCAGTTACTCCCATGAGCTCTTCTCTTACAAAACCTAACCCTGCTACTTCCTTGTCAGGAATGTCAAATAATAATAAGGTTATTTCTAAACCTACAGTTGGTTCCACAGGTGTGTCCACTGTAAGGTCTTGTTCCCATTGTAAGAGAAAAGGCCATGGAATTAATTCCTGTTTTATATTGCACCCTGAGTTACGACCAACTGGTCTCATTTATTGCAGAGGTGTGCAAAATAAACTTACTAATAAACATGTAACTGTAAACCCCAATTGGGTGAAACAGTATTCACCATATATGTCTTCAGGTGAAGTTTTGTGTATTAATGGGAAGTGGAAGCCAGTGGTTATTCTTCGTGATACAGGTGCTTCCCAAACCATAATTTCATCCAGTATTCTTTCTGATGTTGAACAGAGAGAGACTGGAAAGTTTGTTGTTCTTCAGAGTGTTGCAGGATGTAAAACTGTACCTCTAATAGACATTAATTTCAGATCCACCATTACACCAAGTTTATGCACTGTGGGTGTTAGTACACAGTTGCCCATCCCAGGTGTGGATGTTATATTGGGTAATGATGTGGCCATAAATCATGTTGTGGGTGAGAATGATCCCCGTTTGTGTAAACAGCTAGTTGCAGACCATGTTTATTCTGCCTGTGCTGAAGTTAGTTCTATGAATGAACAACCTGTTGTAGAAGATGGTTTTGTCCATTCTACCTGTGCTGATGTCAGTACTAATATAAATCCAGTTGTCAGTTCTAATGTTACTCAAGCATTTGTTCCAGTAACCAGTACCCCTTCAGTGGAGAAGTGGGATGTGGTTGTTCCAGATTCCTGTGTGGCCGATTTAGTTGTTGAGAGTAAGCCTGATACTATGACTCTGCTTTATTCCAATAAATTGGGAAAGGATGTCCATGTACCATTGTCTTGCCCGCTCACTACGAACGTTGTGCCAGGAGTTGAGAGAAACTTAAAAGCCACGACTCTGTATTCCAGCCAAGTGAATGGTTTAGGACAAGATGTCGGGTTGGCAGAAGTATTCCCGCTCACTCCAAGTTTAGAATCAGTTGTCGAGAGTAAGTCTGTTGTAGAGGCCCCGCCTCACCCTAGTCAAGGTGATATAATAGGGGAGGAGGTCAAACTACCTGTTACTTGCCCGCTCGTTTCAGATTCCCTTAATTTAAGTGCATTGAGTAGAACTGACCCTAAGATTTCAGAGAGAAGCAAGGAGACAGTCTGTACTGTAGATCCAGTTTTGGAGAGTGTGGGAAAGCAGCCAGAGGATCAGCTTCTGTTGAGTAGATGGAGACCCATGGAGCCTCCCTCTTCAGTTGTCTGTGAGGATGTGATCCAGCTTGGTAGTGATATTATTGATTGTGAGCAGACAGTACTCCAAGCAGCTCCAGAAGTCATGGGAGGAAATTTTGGAAAAATCATTGAGAGTGGTAAGGTTGCATTTGGATCTAAGTTGCAGAGTTGTGATTCTTATTCTATGTGGAGTAAGTATTTCTCATTGTGTACATTGAGTCAGAGTGTGTGTAGGATGTTGAAATCTACTTTTATTCTGCAGGAGCCATTTTCTTGTGAAGTAATGGACTGTGGGACATCTTTGTCAAGCCTTGTGGTTGAGCAGAGAGAGTTTACTCAAGTAGGTTGTGCATCCAGTTCTGAGGAAGTAGTGAGTTATGCTAGAGCAGTGTCTCTATATTCAGATCCAGTTAATTTTGATGCACGAGTGATGAAAGTGTATGTTCCACTCAAGTGTGGTGTTGACATTCAGAGTCATATTGGAGTTGATTTTCAGAATCATAGTGTGGGTGAAGGATTAAATCATACTGGGGAGCAGATGTTTGAGGCTCCAGGTGTGTATTTCAAGTTGGGGGATAAGGTTATCCTACCTAGTGTTAATCATTGTGAAGGGTTTCAGATTGTCCTTGGGTGTTACCCAGGTAATCTGTTGTTCATCTTCAAGATGTTAAGACCCTTAAACCTCTTGGTTGATTGGTTGTCATCAGACGTAAATCACTTGGGAAGTGATGGTGAGGGATGTAAAGTTTTCGGCATGTTTTATTTAGTCTTTTGGCAGACTAGAAGGTTGATGAAAGTGTGTGTTGTGTTCAAGTTCACCATCAGGAGGTGTGAACTTGTATTCGGAGTTATGATTGAGATATGGTGCCTAGGCATATGCCTGTTTTCATTCACTGATCGTTATGACAGAGTTATGAGGCAATTGATTTCTGTGTTCCTTAGGGATCATCTGAGTCAGTTCGATCAGGTAGTCTTTGCACTTATCTTGGGTTGCATTTCTTGGTTTGAAGGTCAAAGGTTTGCTAAGTCGGTGTCTTGTGTTTCGGAAGGTTCTATGAATGGGAAAGTTTTATACATAATTGTGAGGTTTAATGCTAATTTCTCTAATTTTAGTATACATTGGGCGAGAGTATGTGTTCCACAGAGGATCCAGAGTGATGAAGAGCAGATGTCTGTGTCAGAGCATACCCAGGAGAAGTCCCAAATCTACTCAACATCCAGTCAGCTTCAATTACGCAGTTCAGCTCCAGAAAAAGGGAGTAATGGGAAATGGAGTCTGTCTTGGAAAAATTCACCATGTGGAAAAGGGATCACATGGAAATACGGAACTGATCTTAGAGAAATAGTAGAAACAAATGAAAAGCTAAATTGCCGTGATAACTGTGTGAAAGCAGCTACCTTTATTGACAATTCTATTCATGCTAATGATGATAATGTAGATAGGAGTGTGAAATATGATCTGAAACAAAGTGAAATAAATGAGATAGTACCTTGGAATGATAAATTTGCATACTCCAGTGACACATATGTAGAACATAGTCATAAGACTGAAATTTCTGAGTTTCCTGTAAGACTATATTTGGAGTGTTTTCATTTTTGTCCAGAAATGTGTTCTTATTACTTTTACATGTTTGGTGTAATTAATACCATAAATCTCAAGTGTTGCATACACCTACACAAATACCATACACTTATAAAAAAACTTTGCTTTCACTTACACAAAAGACCTTGCCTACACTTGCACAAATATTCTACACTTACACAATAGACCTTGCCTCCCCTCACCTCTCGCCCTATTCCCCTCCCTCACCTCTCCTTCCCTATCCACCATTTTTATCTCTAATATACCCATCTCTTACCCTTCCTGCACTATCCCCCTCTTTTCACCTCTTCTCTGTGCCCTTCTCTTCCTATATCCATCTCCCATCTCTCCTTCATTTCCCACCTTTTCCACCCTAATTCCTTTCCCACTTTTCTCCTTAAGACAAAAAGTAAGGGCGCTTTGCAATTATTTGTTTCCCATCAAGTTTGTAAAATATATGGAATCTTAATCGAGAAATTATGAAAATCATTTTATTTGTTCAATATATAGTTAGCGAGATGTGAGAGCAAGAAAGTATCCGACAGAAAAAACTTCTCCCAAAACACATTTTCACTAAGATCCCAGTCCCACCTTTTATAACCCAGTCTCGTACAGATGTTATTCATTTGTTGCCCGAGCTACCATTATAACTCCCTGGAATGACTTCCCTTCCCTCCTATGGCTTCTCCACGCAATCATTCAGCTGTTTCCTAAAACATCATCACTTTCTCTTTAATATTTGCCTTGCACACTTGAACTCCTACAGGTGCATATCTCTCTCTACCTGTCTTACAGACACTTCAACTATCCAACATTACCAGCACCCTATGGCACATCTTTATGTGTGTACCTCAGGTATGGAAAAAGCTTCTGCCTTTCCATCTTTATTCCTTTCTTACTCTCATCATATCCTGACTACACAGTTTACCATCTACACTCTTCCTCTCATTTTTCTCAGTTTTCCCATTATATCTTCCAATTAAGATGTGACATGTGAGACAAACATTTATCTTTCTATTTTCCAGGCCACCAGGACAAGGCGGTGTGAGACCTGGACACACTGTTCATTGTTCTATCCGACGGCAATATCGTATGAAACCAAACATAGTTATTACATGTTGTTGCAAATAGAAACACTGCAAAAACCTCATGTTGTGGGAACTTTGTACAATAAATTTTATGAAACTGATTACAGCGATAAGTCGTGTAAGTTAATAATAAATTAAATGAATCTCAAGGCAACATATCAATGGAGAGAACTTACTAACACACTTGGTACCAGTGGTCATATAGCCACTTGGACAGCAGCAGCTGTAGCTGGTTCCGGTACCAACGCAGGTCCCAGGATCACACGGGTTGGAGACACACAGGTCAGCTGTATTGTAAGACAAAAACATTACAATGTTTTTTTGTTTACTTTCAACATTGTTTACTTTCAACATTATTGTTTATAATGTCAATGGGGCTCAGCAGAGTCAGCAGTGATGCCAGTGGCTAACGTGATCGTTTGTATTCATACTGACAACTGCTCACAGTCACATGTACATGTTCTAGTGTGGTGGAGCTTGGCCATACTAGATGACTGATACTATAAATTTTCTAGTGTGGACGAATTTGGCCACAGTAGATGTCCGAGATACTGTAAGTGTTTTTGTGTGATGGAGCTTGGTTACACTAGATGACTGGGTGTGCCTTCTCCCCACCCAAGCCAACCCCTCCCTTTCCCCATTCACAATGCCAACAATATCCTCCAAATCCTCCCTTCCTTCCTCACACCGAGCACCCCCTGAACTACTTCCTTCCCCAAGCAGGGCAAGCAAGATCGAAGCCCTCCATCCCCAACCCTACCTCACCCTGAACCTAAGGTAACTACCCACAGGAGGATGAGTCTATCCATGTAGCCCTGTCCACGGAACGGCTTCCTACTCCAGTGTGTGTCACAATGGATATAGGAAAGTGAGCTTCAAGGTGATAAAGTCAAACATCGATGGGGTTACTAATAAAGCAAGTGAAGTGGCCGTAAGGGCGCAGGAAGAAAACCATGATATAATAGCACTCACTTTAATAAAATTGTCAGGCATCATAACAAATGCAGTGTTTCTGCAGAACCACTATATAGTAAGGAAAGAGGGAAGGAAGTGGAGAGGCTCCGCTGATATGTAGGGACTGTAGTTTTGAAGAGCTGGAATTTCGGGCTGTGAAGGATTCAGAGAATACATAATCGGAACTATGACAATGGGTGGTCCTTAGGTAATAGCAGCAGTCATTTACAACCACCGATTATATGACAGAAGACTCAGGAATTCGATAGGAACAACATGGCAACCCATTAATATAATAGAGAGAGCAGCTTCAATTGCCTGCAGCAATGGATCTAGGCTCCTAATCATGAGCGACTTCATTGACGGAAAGAGACTGGGAGAATGTGGAACCACATGGAGGTGCAGATACTTGGAGAGGTAAACTCTTGGACGTGACAACAAGAAAACGTTTTATCCAACATGTCAAGGGACCCACAAGAATAAGAGGCAATGACGAACAAGCTAGACTACCAGATATTTCACCTTGAATGAGTTAGAAATAAAGGAAGTCAAATTTGAAGCCCACATGAAAATGAGTGATCACATTATATTGTTATAAGAGTACCTGTTGGAGGAAGTGATAGTGAATCCAAGGAAGGGATCGGAAAGGAAAAGGCTAAATTACCGAAGAGTTAAATGTGATGAGATGAGGAACGTCCTAATTGGAATAACATGCGAAACAGAACTTTGAGAAAAGTGTACGAGATATGATGGAATACGTCTCACAAGTGTCAGGAAGCTGCAGACAAGTTTATCCAGGCCCAAAAATCGAAAAATGAAAAGTAGCAGAAGAATCCATAGTTCAGAAGGGATTTTAAAGTAGCGTAGCAATTGAGTACAAGAGCATGGAGAAACTACAGGAATAACAGAACACAAGAGAGCAGGAAGAGTTACCAGAGAGCCAGGAATGAGTACCTCAGAGTTTAGAGAAAAGTAGAGAAACTCTAAAAATTGTATGCCGATAAAAAGCGAAGACCCAACCATAATTGTTCCTTAGCCACATTAGGAGGAAAAAAGCAGTGAAGGAATAAGTGATGAAACTGAGAAAAGGGGAGAACAGATACACAAAATGACAGGGAGGTGTGGGAAGAACTCATCAAGAGGTTCCAGGAGGTCTTCACAACAGGGCAAGGAGAAGCCCTTGTTCTAAGAAAGGAGGCGGCAAACCAAGGCACCATATAGGAATTTGAGCTCAGTGATGATGTCAAAAGGAATCTGTTGGAGCTGAATGTGACAAAAGCTGTTGGCCCAAACAAAATCTCATAATGGACTCTAAAAGAGGGTGCAGCAGAACTAAGTGTTTCACTCTCTATGGTGTACCACAGATAACTGAAAACTGGAGACCTAATGGAAAATTGGAAGACGGCTAATGTAGTCCCAATATACAAAAAATGGGCGACAGTTAGAGGCCCTGAACTACAGGCTAGTTTCCATAACCATGCAACATGGAGAAGATCACGAGGAAAAGGCTGTTAGAACATCTGGAGGGAAAGAACTTTATAACACATCACCAGCATGGGTCCAGGTATGGTAAATCATGCTTCACAGGCCTTATATAATTATAGGATCAAGTGACAAAAATTAGGTTAAAGAGAGAAGGGTTGGCAGAATGCATTTTCTTGGACTGTAAGAAAGCCTTTGACACAATACCCAATAAAAGGTTTAAATAGTTGGAGAGGCAGGCAAGAGTAGAAAATAAGGTGCTCTAGTGGATAAAGGATACTAAGCAGCAGGAAACAGCAAGGAGCAGTGAAGGGGAAAGATATGAGAGTGGCGAGATATCACCATCGGTGTCCCACTACTTTGACCAATGCTGTTTCTGATATATGTAAACGACTTCCCAGAGGAAATAGACTCATTTCTCTCTATGTTTGTTGATGATGTAAAAATTATGAGACGAATCAAGACAGATGAAGATTACAGGACGACTTTGATAAACTAGAGGAATGTTTTAGAATATGGCTAAAGTTTAACTTGTGGACACGTAAAGGTAATGAAATTAGAGGAAGGGACGAAGAGGTTGAACACAAGTTACCATCTGGGAGGTGAAATCCGGCAATAGTCATATTAGAGAGAGATCTGAGGATTGATATCACACCGAACCTGTCCCCAGAAATCCTCATCAAATGTATATCAGCTGCGGCATATGCTGGATTTGCCAACATAAGAACTGCCTTTAGAATTTTGTGTAAGGAATCGTTCAGGGCCTTGTTACCTTACCTTGCGATGATTTCAGGGGTCAACGTCTCCCCGGTCCGTGACCAGGCCACCTATAACCAATTATATCAGACCTATCCTGCAGTATGTAGCTCCAGCCAGGAATCCATACCTATTTAAACACACGACAAAGTTAGAGAAAATTCAGATGTATTCCACCAGACTAGTCCCAGAGCCGAGAGGTATGAGCTACAAGTAAATGCAACTGGAGCTAAAACTCACTTCTCAGGAAGACAGGAGTAAGGGGAGACATAATAACCACCTTTAAATTTCTCAGGGGACTTGACAGGGTGAACATAGACAAACTATTTAGCACGCGTGAAACACGAACAAGGGGACACAAGGTGGAAACTTAGTACCCAAATGAGGCACATAGACATTAGATATATATTTTTCAGTGTCAGAGTAGTTGACATATAGTGCATTAAGCAGTGATGTGATAGAGGAAGAATCCATACAAAGTTTCCAATATAGATTGGACAGAGCCCAATAGGTTCAAGAATCTGTTCACCAGTTGAGAGGCGGGAACAAAGAGCCTAAGCTCATGCACTACAAGCACAATTAGTTGCGTAGAACTAAGTGAGTACACACACATATACACAGTGTGTAACTTGGATTACATGTACTACTCACGTATGCAGGTTTTTCCATTAAATGCTTTTCCTTTGGGACATACACATTTCGGCTTCAGCATGCCAGTTCCGCATCCGTGTAACAAGTTCTCATTCGAACCCTGAAAGCAACATTTTTCTTTGTGAAAACAGAGTTAGTTGTTTATCATTGTTTATGTGGAAGCATTCTCTTATTAGTATGGTTGTGTAATGAACGGAAATAGAGCATAAACACATTTTCACTTCAGAGATATCCTCACAAATAACGGCAAAATAATCGGCTGATACAGCGACAGCAGAAGACTGGACATCGACGAGGCATTATACATCAAGCTAACCAAGACATGTATCAGTAGCAAACTAGCACAATTTACACTTTGCCAACTTCCAAAGCACGACGAATCATAACATACGGCACCAGCTATTATAAAAACAAGAGTTTGTATAATGTGAGGTGCTTCACCTTATTCATGGGAGAGGATGTAGTTAGAATCATGCAGAAAAAATCTTAGTAATCATTTGAACTTTGCCTGTGACAATGTTAACAGGAGTTAACGAAACATCTTTTAGCATCAGGCCAATTAAAACTGTTTTAGTTTTATGTAAAACAAATGTATGTCATTACTTAAACACAACATCATTGTTACTTATTAACCTTTTTATATATTTACCAGTCTTTGCAAATATTTTCTACCATCTGAAAGGTGAAGAAATACTAGATCACTTAATCTTTCCATTTATATTGTTCGAAGTTTCGATCAAATTTCGTTCAACAAAACCACTGCAGTGACCAATACTTTTGACCCACTGAAATCAATATGATCACAGTGATTGACATGTAAATACAATGCACTTGAATGTTGGACAGCTCTAATAAAATCAAAACGTGAACTCAAAGATTTACCTCCTTGTCTGATGTAAATAAACGAATGACAAAGGATCGAATACACACAAACACACACACATACACCTTTTGCATAAATGGGCAAGTTTTTTATTAAAATGGATTTTATCGTATCTTTGAATACCACATTGGTATCAGAGTTCTTCAAAACTTTGAAAAGTTTAGCAAGTCCTTCCGAGTCACATACCACTAAGCATGTAAATTTGCGTGAGGCTATATGCAATCTTTTCACCTCTAGCTTTGAACAGACAAACATTCTCTTATAGTATAGATATAAATAGTTACCAATTATTTATGGTATAATGAGTATTTTAGTTTCTTACATAAAATATATAGGTACAAGTATCATTATTAGGCGAGTATTATTAAGTTTTTAATATATTATTGAATATATTACAATTATATTTGTGGGATAACTTCTGAATAACGATATTGATTGGTTGAATGATCGCGGCTTACATTCAGTGGCAGTGATGCGTTATATACTTAGATGGCTACAAGTACATTATTTAGAAAGCTGAAGACATAAATTAGATGCAGACTTACGTCTATTCCTTCGTTAGACTTTAATACGATGTTCCTGACACCAGCGGCAGCGGTGAGCATTACAATTGCTGACAGGAAGATGATAGACCGCATGGTGGTTCTCTGGGCACTACTTGATGTATTGGCACACTGGCTGGGCACAGGGGAGGAAAGATACTATTACTGGCTGGGCACTAGGGAAATTTGCGATTGTTACTGGTTGGGCACTTTGGAGATATGAAACTAACTATATGGACTATGGGGAGATACGAGACTTACTGGCTGCATACCTGGAGGATAGGAGACAAGCTGGCGGGACTAGGTAACAGTTATTAATAGAGCATCAAGTACCAGTTATGCTTAATTTAAAGTTAATTTTACTCTTTCGTTTAGAATAATATCGTGGTCTTATTTTTTTACATTAAAAAATTTCATATGCCAATTTCATATACAAAAAATTATATGCCAGCGTTTCAACTACTGAATATGTAATATATCGAACACCCACTAGTGAGAGATATTATAATATATTTATCAGAATATATTACATAAATAACAGGCTTTAGTGAAATAAGGAGAATTAAGGTGGGAGTACATTAATAATAATCCAACGAACGAGAAGAAAGGTAGACAATTCTCTTGTAGATGACCTTAATAAGCAAATTGAGCACCGTCTCAGAGTTCAGCACTATACGACTGGACGAAGTAAATCTCAGAAGAAGAAACTAAAACAGTATGAGAGACTGCATTGAGCATCAATGCATCATGTAAATGCAAAGAGCATGAGAGAGAGTACCGGAGACATCCCACTGAAAGTAGCCAAGAGCTGTTTAAAACTGTGTTTTAAGTAGCCAGGGAAGAGAAGATTAATGAGCGGTAAAGACAATGGCTTGAAATCACTAGTTTTATAGGAAAGGAAACATCTGCCAGACAAGTGTAGAGCAAAACTTTAGATACTTAAAGGGAGGGGGGAAGGGGGGGGGGCAGAACCCGGCCGGCGGAATACAAAGACCCCAAGGGTAAGGCTGAAGAACTAATAAACAAGTAGAGTAATGCAGCTTCCTCCTCCTACCTCCCTGCAGAAATAAACAGGGAACAGCTCCTGCGACATATTGACAGAAGAATTAGGATAACAAGAGCACAATCTAGTGATGACGAGTATGGGCAACCAATCACCGCCCACGAAGTAAGGGGGGCTATGTAAAAGGGTAAAAGTACTGCATCTAGGTGAAGATGGCATCACTTACGACATATTCAATGCACTGTGTGAGGTGGCTTATTCCAATACTTCTCCTGTTCAACAAGTCATTCCTAAGAGGAGTGTTGCCCACACAATGGAATCACGCAATAATTATTCCCATACCGATGCCCAATGACCCTTGCAGTTATAGACCTATCAGTCTCTTGTCATGTACATGCAAGATGCTTGAAAGGATCATCCTAAAACTACTATAGCACAAAATAGGCAGGCTAGGAGAGGGGATCAATTGATTTGTTAAAGGATGGAGCACGGCAAATTGTACAGTTAATTACTTGGCTAATGACATGTATTCTGTATTTATTGACATCAAAGGAGACTTCGACAGAGCACAAGGAGTTGCGATCCTGGACGAGTTTTTGTGCATGGGTGTCAATTCTTATCTTGAGTTATCTTGAGATGATTTCGTGACTTTTTAGTGTCCATGCGGCCCGGTCCTCGACCAGGCCTCAACCCCCAGGAAGCAGCCCGTGACAGCTGACTAACACCCAGGTACCTATTTACTGCTAGGTAACTGGGGCATAGGGTGAAAGAAACTCTGCCCATTGTTTCTCGCCGGCGCCCAAGATCGAACCTGGGACCCCAGGATCACAAGTCCAGCGTGCTATCCGCTCGGCCGACCGGCTCCCCCGATGAGGAAGACGAGTTCAATGGACTGTTTGATTTTGCCCAAGGTGGGAGCTTGTATTAGAACATCATCTGCTTATCCCACTTGTTGTGTTCTTTCCGGAAATTCAATACTTGCAGTGGCGTTCATAAGTATGTTAAATAGTGTCAGGGGAGACTCATGATATATATTGAAGATTACCTCACAAGAAGGAAAGCAAAGGTCTACTTCAAAGGAGCAATCTCGAGAACAATGAGAATAGAACTCAGGAACCCCCCCCCCCCCCCCCACCAAGGAGCGTTCTTAAGCCAACACTATTTAACATAATTATGAACGCCATTGCAAGTATTGAATTTCCGGAAAGAACACAACAAGTGGGATAAGCAGATGATGTTCTAATACAAGCTCCCACCTTGGGCAAAATTAAACAGTCCATTGAACTCCTTGTTAGGAAATGTGTTTCACTCTGTTTCACTCTCTCCACAAACAAGACAAAAGAATACTCATCACAATCGGAGATAAAATGAGAAAAAATTAATGGTAAAACACTTGAATGGGTTAACCACTTCCGGTACTTCCAGTGACGCCAAGGTACTTCCGGTACCTTGGCGTCACTGTCGGCTCTAACAAGGGGAAGAAAGGAGCTCAACCATCTCATGGGAACATGCAAAAGTCGACACAGGGCACTGAAAGCTATGACCTGGAATGGGCATGAAGGCTCTATTGCCGTGCTTAAAACGATCTACACAGCCTATGTGCACTCCGTCATAGACTATGCCTGAAAAGTTTTGTGCACTTATTCCCAAAGCGACATAAACAAAATATTAAAAGCATACAAAATGAAGCCATGACAATCATTCTTAGAGTTCCAAGAACTGCCAAAACATCTAATCCACGAGAAGAGTTGTTCCTCCCCAGTGTTAAAAGCAGAATTATGGAACTGAATGCTAAGCTTGCAATTAAAATAGCCAAAGGTCCCCATTACAATGATATTGCCAAGAAATAACTGATTTCTGTGCTGCTTACAGGGGGAAATAGGAGAAGCAAAAAAATGGCATCACAGATCAGTCTGCTACCTCCAAGAACTTCACCTGCTTGAGCAAGCCCGAGAGCTCATTCCTGTAGAAAGGTTACCTCCCTGGGTGGATGATCCATTCAGGATAATCATCAATGTGATGGCAGCGAAAAAGTCGAACATGATACCACAAGAAATGAGCCAAAATTATCTCTAGGAAATTTATAAATAGCCGGAAATGAGTTAGGTCAAATCTACACTGATTGATCATCGATCCCTGTCAGTGACAGGGCTGGTGCAGCATACACAAATTAGGAATAATGCCTTTCAACGCGGAAATGAAGGTAAAGCACGTATTGAGAACTATGCCCCTTCACATCAATTAAATTTCGGAGACTTCAGCCAAAGTGAAATTCACAGCAGTTCCTCCATCTACTATCATTCTATTATTCAAGAAGTACCGCACGTCTATGGGTCATCTAATAAGATTAGCAGACTTCTAGATGTTACCACTGCTAGGCTTAGGCTCGACTACAAGTACCTCTAGGAGTTTGTAACATCTGCTGATGTAGATTTGACTAAATGTAAACTGTCAACAGAATTATTCGCATACTTTGCGTCATTATATACTGGAATGTGAAAAAATTGCGGAATTTAGAGGTAACACCATCAATGATGTCCAGGAAATGTGTAAGTACATCATTCATAATGATGTGCTGCCCGAAATCTTAGCAAAGTATTCAAAATTTACCTACTGTAACTAATGCATGCACATGTATGCATGCACGCACAACCAGTCTCCGTGGTGCAGTGGTAAGACACTCGCCTGGCGTTCTGCGAGCGCTTTGTCATGGGTTCGTATCCTGGCCGTAGAGGATTTACTGAGCGCAAATCCTTAACTGTAGCCTCTGTTTAACTCAACAGCAAAATGAGTACTTGGTTGTAAAAACGATTCTTCGCGGCGGGGATCGTATTCCAGGGACCTGCCCGAAACGCTAAGCGTACTAGTGGCTGTACAAGAATGTAACATCTCTTGTATATATCACAAAAAAAATGACTAAAGCAGCCGCCCAGTTGGGTGGGTGTGCAGCAAGAGTAGTGTGACTTACTATAGATGTAAAGTGCCTTGTATAGTGACTTGTGAGCCTCTTGTTGAATCACTTAAATTAATACAAAACAATATTGATGTGTGTAGGTGATTAAATATGTGTATGTATATATATGAACATGTATGAGTATGTGTACATGTATATACAATTTTAATTGTGTAACTAACGTCAATTTTTTTTAATTCTTTAGCTAAACGAACTAGAAGGTTCAGTTCCTGAACCGATTATGTGCCTCTAATCCTTTACACCACCGCCCACGGGATAAGTATGGGGTGCATAATAAAGAAAGAAATTGAATTACCTCTTCAAAGTAAGCGGAGCTAACCACCATTGTTATGGCGTTAAGATTCCTTTAACGAAAAACTAATGGCGCAGTGATCTGCACCGATTCAAAAGCAGCGCTACAAAGCTTTACTAAAAATCGGGCAGAAAATCCTACGATAGTTGCTAAAATCAGGAGCTGTGAGAGTTATCGCCAATCAGGGAAGAGTGGCCAAATTTCTAGATTCCCTCTCATGTTGAAATCTGTGGAAATGAACGAGCAGATGTGCTGGCTACTGAAGGAGCCCATATTGAATACTTTATATTCTAGACTCATTCAAATTAGAGGTAACATCAGGCAATATCACCGCAACAACGTTACTGAGGAAAGGAGGAGAGAAGAACAAATCATTGAATCTGTATGCCGATACAACATTGTTGCAGCTGGCAATCCCAATCCTTAAGAACGAAGAGGAGGTGGCCGCGGGAGAGAGCGAGAATCTGTCTTTGATAGAAATATTCATAGATATTTGGAGTTTAAACAACAGTTGAGGAGCGAAATAGGCTTACAGGTTCCGGAAGATGAGGAAATGTCAGCACTGTGGAGAAATGCCTGACAGACTACTAGAACATTATCTAACACAGTGCAGCGTTACAAACCCATTAAGATTTGAACTTAGATTCAACTGAGCAGAAAGTTGTTAAACTCGTGGGACAGAATCTTACTGAAGCGACCATACGAGTCAAATACTCACACTCCGCCCAAGTAAAACAGAAACAAGCAACACTTAGTGGGCCAGCCAGAGGCTTAGGGCCCGCGCAGGAATATCCCTGGAGAAAAAAATTGAGGAGCAGAGTTCCAGAATCTGTGGTGAGAATGACGGACACCGCTTAGACCATTATCTAAAAGACTGAACATCTGTGAGACATTAGAAATATGTTTAGAATAAACCCATTCATTGTTTGAGTTTGGAAAATGCTATTTGTCAAATATATATACTGTTTAAAATATTTCACCATTTTTCACCCCAATGATAACGTATGATTTTTATGGTTATCTTGAGATGATTTCGGGGCTTTAGTGTCCCCGCGGCCCGGTCCTCGACCAGGCCTCCACCCCCAGGAAGCAGCCCGTGACAGCTGACTAACTCCCAGGTACCTATTTACTGCTAGGTAACAGGGGCATTTAGGGTGAAAGAAACTTTGCCCATTTGTTTCTGCCTCGTGCGGGAATCGAACCCGCGCCACAGAATTACGAGTCCTGCGCGCTATCCACCAGGCTACGAGGCCCCTCGTAGACGAATGTTAAACTTGTTTATGAAGCTGTTCACTTGACAGAGTTAAGCAAGTCCCAGCTATGTCTGGGGGCAAGTGACAGGATGAACAACCCAGCGGGTTTTCTTCCTATTGAGGAGTGCTGTACATGCTCCTATGGCAGTGTGTCCACTCACAGGATGAGTGGCACTGCTATATAAATTTGCCCCCTAGGGACAAAATTAAAAAGTCTTAATAATGAAAACATGAAAATATATGTAAATTTTCCAAGTCTAGAATAATAGCAAGATTGATGTACTAAGCAATTAGATAGTCGAATTTGGTACTATTCACGCAATAAACATTGGAAAAATAAGCTAAAAACAGACTTAAATATTCCATGGCCTAGTAAAGGATACATGCACTATATTAGCCCTCAGATATCTTTTCTTAAGTTAGAGAAGGTTAGGTTAGTTGGGTTTGTCTATGCAACATAAATAGAAAATCTTTTCCTGTTTGTCCAAATTTAATAGTAATAATCTTTACTTTCTAATTGCGGTACACATCGGTATATGCTCCATGGTCCTCATCGTTATTAAGTACTACCAAAACAGGACGATGGGCTGAATAATTATACATCATGATGTCATAGAATAGAATAAACTAGAATAGAATAAATCAAGTCATAGAATAACATCTGTAGAACTAGACATCATCATGCAGAAATATACCATCTTAGTTTTATAGTTACAAATAAGAAGGTTGCCACCGTAGAATAAGCAAGACGGAGTTTACCTGGGCGATGAGGCAAGGAGGAGATGGAGATGTTGACTGGTTGACGGCTGACTGCTGACTGTACTCGACCAACACCTGCAGCCATCTTATAAGACGTTTGGGAAGGAGTGCCAACTATCACTACCTTAAACATACTTTACATGAATGGTAATGAATAAAATAACATTAATAAACACACTGCTTCTGTGTGTGTTTCTGTACTTATTTCCAAAAATATTATTGCTCACGATGGCTGTCGAATACTGAATTAAATTCATAATTATTAGCAATTGTCAACATTTGACTCTGGCCAATTACAGGCTTACAGATGGTACGGTCAACGAATCAGAACACTGCATTTAAGACTAATAAATATTTTTAGCATTTCTGAAGCGAAGTCGATGATTTGTGTATGTCTGCATACTCATCTAGATGTACTCATCTAATCGCGTACTCATCAAAATGTACATATCTAGGTGAACTCATCTATATGTACTCATCTAAGTGAACTCACCTGTATTTAGTCATCATATGTACTAATATATATGAGAAACGCTTGATTTACTCACCTAGTTGTTCTCACCTTGACGTACTCACCAAGATGTATTCATCTAGGTGTACTCAACTCGATGTACTCATCTAGGTATACTCATCTGGGTAACCCTCAGTTAAATGTACTCGCCAAGGTGTTCTAAACAAGGAGTTCACTATACTAGATGCTCTCCTAAGTGTATTCACCTAGGTGACTCACCAGGTTTGGGAAATAATTATCGCTGTGTGAGCAAATACTAACTAAATATTTTCTAATTACTCTGTAATGTGAACTTTTTATGAGAAATAAATTCTCTGTTTCTCGATGAACTAATAATTAATATATAAATTTTAACTGTGATGTGAACCAATGAAAGCTAAGTTTCCTTGTCCACTACATCACTTACCATTATAATCAAATTAACAATCAATCATACTTTCATGCGAGTTTAAAAATATATCTTAAATGAAAGAACATTAATTTGTTTGAACATTTTTAATTCGGTGGAAAGGTTGATATCACATATTACTAAATAGTAAAATTGTGATGCCTCTAATAATCACTAATTATAATATTCTCCCCATTGCCCAACCCTTACTCCTAATAGAGAGTCACATTTTTGACGTATACTCTCTGTAAGGCCAGAAATTGTCGTACTAGAAAACGGTAGTGGCTCGCGAAATTGACATACCGCCTCGTTTTCTGTTTTGGGTCCTCGGGTAGGTTAGGGTAAGGGCACTTTGTTGGACAGTTTCTTGACGTTGGAAAACTTTATGAGATCAGGCTGTGTTGAGAGGGAAGGCGTCGGTGAGTAATTTCGACGGCGCTATTACAGCCGGACGTGATCGTTGACAGAGACTGTTAACATTCAATACCACCTGGGAGTTGGTCGGTCCCAATCCACACTTAAATTTTCCTCTAAGTGACATCCATAACAATCGTTTTGTTCTGTTTTATATCAAGATTTATGATTATATGAGCGTAAGGGATGGTTGGGTGCGGTTATGAAGCATGACAACAAAAGTTATCAAGAAATATATCCATTAGAATGAAATCTTATCATAACCCAGTATGAGACAGTTATTAGTAATTATAGGTTGATTGTTGAAATTACTAATAAATCTGCCGGCAGGAGGAACTGTAAACCAGGTTTACCCCCAAGGAGGACACTGGAGCAGCCACATTATCAATACATGTGTCGAGGATTCCCTAAACTTTTCGACAGCTAAGCCCTTAATGCATTTCTTCCATGCCCTTTTGCTTCTACTTTTTGCCTCCAGACACAACCTGTGAAACAATGGGCTAATGCTCGTATTTCTTCCTTAAACCCATAATGGTGGTATAAATCACTCGTCAGCTTGTTTGAGTTTGTTCGTTACATAATGCATCATGTCCTGTGTGGATTTTTCTCTGAGTTCTCTTCCCCCACCAGGAACTCTCTGATCTGCTGGTGTTCCCTTTCCCTATTTGCTACTTTTAAAATCTTACCCTGGTTACATCTTCCTTTGGTCTTCATTGTCACATGTATTCAAAGACTAAAACACAGCTTTGGCTCCGATTGGCATTTCATGGTCAATGTTTGCAATGTCCATCTCACCCTGAAGAAATATTTGTTCTATCTAGCTGTTGATCACCATCCCTTCTTCTTGTTTTCCCCTTGACTTGTTGCATTAAGGAAGCTCCTCTCTATTTCTTCTAAAAGATTTGCTCTCTACTTCTCTTCCCCTCCTTTTGGGTATATTGTTTCCTAATCAAATAGGACATGATTGAAGTCTCCCTCTCCTAAAAACAAAAACTTCCTCAAAACGTCTAAGAGTTTTGCTTTCAATCTATGGGCTGTCTGCCACCCCCTGCATGGCATTCTGCTCAGTTCACAATTTAACATTCTTGCTCCGGTCTTCAGTGGTTCTCTGGATGGTTGTTGATTACTGCTAAAACAACTTTCTCTCCCTCTGATTAAATGATTCCCAAAATGCAGTTCATGTAGTTACTTGCCATCTCCAATGAAATTTCCTCAAGGATGTAGTGGAAAGGAAAGGAAGTGGTGGGAAAGATGTGGAAAAATGTGGAGGAAAGCCAGAAAGAGATCTAACGTAGAAAGAGAACGCAGACGACACTATAAACGCAGGAAAAAAATAACGGAACTGCTTATGCAGACACGAATTTCCCGTCAAAGAAGGAATAATTTAAATAGGGAGATTTAAGAAATCGAGCGGAAATTGAAAGACTCTTATGAAACTGAAGAAAGGCAGTTAGAACAGAAAGCAATTCAGGAAATAAAGAAAAATCCAAAATATTTCTTCTCATATGCGAAATCAAAAGCAAAAACCACTGCCAGTATTGGACCTATTCGTACAAGTGCAGGTTCATACATGGAGGATGACAAAGAAATTAGTGAAATCCTAAAAAAGCAGTATGAGGACATGTTTAGCACTCCAATAAACAACATGAAAGTGGAAGATCCAGACAAAATCTTTATGCGGGATATTCAAACCCCTGTAAATATAACTGATATCAACACGAGCGCACTAAATTTTGAAAGAGAAATTGAAAACATGCCCATGCACTCGGACCCAGGTCCAGACTCATGGAATTCAATATTTATAAAGAAATGCAAAGTGCCGGTAGCACAGGCACTCAGTATAGTGTGGAGGAAGAGCTTGGACACGGGGGAGATACCAGATGCACTTAAAGTAGCAGACATAGCCCCTCTACACAAGGGAGGGAGCAAAGCATTGGCAAAGAATTATAGACCAGTTGCACTAACATCGCACATCATAAAAGTATTTGAGAGAGTGATTACGAGTCAGGTCACCAATTTCATGGAGACCAATGACCTTCACAACCCAGGCCAACATGGATTTCGAGCGGGAAGATCGTGCCTCTCACAGCTACTTGAGCACTACGACAAAGTCACTGAGGCATTAGAAGAAAAACAGAATGCTGATGTGATATACACAGACTTTGCAAAGGCTTTCGATAAATGTGACCATGGCGTGATAGCACACAAAATGAAGTCAATGGGAATAACCGGTAAAGTAGGACGCTGGATACTCAGTTTTCTGTCAAACAGGTCTCAGCGAGTAACGGTCAACCATATTTAATCTAGTCCAAGTGCAGTTAAAAGCTCTGTACCTCAGGGTACAGTCCTTGCACTGCTGCTTTTCTTTATTCTCATATCAGATATAGACAAAAATACAAGTCACAGCTTCGTATCATCCTTTGCAGATGACACAAAAATCAGTATGAAAATTACCTCGGCTGAAGACATTGAAAAACTTCAAGCCGATATTAATAAAGTTTTCGACTGGGCATCAGAAAATAACATGATGTTTAACAGTGATAAATTCCAGGTACTCAGGTACGGTAAAAATGAGGACCTTAAACATAATACAGAGTACAAAACACAATCAAATGTACCCATAGTAGGAAAACAGCATGTAAAGGATTTGGGAATAATAATGTCTGACGACCTAACGTTTACGGAGCATAACCAAGCAAATATTGCGACAGCCAGAAAAATGATAGGATGGATTACGAGAACTTTCAAATCCAGGGATCCCATTACAATGGTTGTACTCTTCAAGTCACTTGTGTTGTCCCGTCTTGAGTACTGCTCAGTACTCACTTCCCCCTTCAGAGCAGGAGAGATTGCTGAAATAGAGGGAATACAGAGAACATATTCGGCACGCATAGACGCAATAAAGCACCTAAATTATTGGGATCGTCTCAAAGCCCTCCAAATGTACTCACTAGAAGGAAGACGAGAGAGATATCAAATAATATACACCTGGAAGATACTGGAGGGCCAAGTACCAAATCTACACAGTAAAATAACAACGTACTGGAGTAAACGATATGGAAGAAAATGCAGAATAGAACCAGTGAAGAGCAGAGGTGCCATAGGCACAATCAGAGAACACTGTATAAACATCAGAGGTCCGCGGTTGTTCAACGTCCTCCCAGCAAGCATAAGAAATATTGCCGGAACAACCGTGGACATCTTCAAGAGGAAACTAGATTTATTCCTCCAAGGAGTGCCGGACCAACCGGGCTGTGGTGGGTATGTGGGCCTGCAAGCCGCTCCAAGCAACAGCCTAGTGGACCAAACTCTCACAAGTCAAGCCTGGCCTCGGGCCGGGCTTGGGGAGTAGAAGAACTCCCAGAACCCCATCAACCAGGTATCAACCAGTGGCTTTTTTCCATCCGTGCCACACCTCCTCCTACTTTTTGCAGTCTTTCACTTCTCACTATCTGGTATTCCTTTGGGAATATTGTATTGCAAATCATAGCAGTTAGTGTGGTCTCTACTAATGCTATTACATCAAGGTCGGTTTCTTGAGTCCTTTCCTTGATTTATCTGCTTTATTTGACAGTCCATCAGCATTAGTGTACCAGATCTTCTAGGTCTTCATTGCTAGCTTGTCCTCTGACTGGTTAGTTTTCAGCTTTGATATGAGGCATAGGTTAGCCTCAGGATGAATTTTGGAAATGGGAGGGAGCGTGTGGATATGTCTGTGAAACACTGCGTTGGGGTTGGGATGTGAAAACCCGAATCCTTCGACCTGGGTTTCTAGTTGCTCATTCCTTATGCTGCTTCTTTATGTTATGCTACACTTG